GTATAACTTGTCTTTTATATAAAAAATATGGAGTTTGATTTGGAGAAAGACAATATGATATGACTGAGGAGGCAGATGAAGATGAGGGCAATATCATAAAGCAAAAAGTGGAACAAAAACAACTTGTACAGTGACAGAAAGGGATAAGGGACCAGTAACAATGTTCCTCATACCAAATGGTGAACAGAGATGGTTAATAGAGGTGACCTATTTAACCCTTATGACTTTTTTTTACGGGAATTAGTCCACCCCACAGGTCAAACGACCCACAACGGGGCCTGGGGGGGCGAAAAAAAAGAACAGAGAGAAATTGAAAATAAAGAAGAAAAAGGTTATACTGTGTTGATCTACACCACGAAGATGCCGGAAAACCAGCTTTTTAAAGTGAGACTGATTGTATAAGTATGGAAACACAGGAGAAGGCAGAGCATTACACAGTTAACTGTTATGAGAGAAATATTCTAAGCTGTGCATGGTGACGGCCTTCGAGAAGTGAAACACTGTGTGACCAAACTCTGAGTTCTGAAAAACATCGACTGGTGTCATAAAATCCTTCTACTGTACAGTTGATAATCATTAACAGCCTTGAAAAACAAAATCAGTAAAAAAAAGTAAGTAAGAAAATAGTATATACATTTATTCATTCAATTATCAATATATAAAAAAATAAACATCGTAAATGTCATTATAATGATCATAATATTAAACTGCTCTAACTGCTCATCACGTGATGAATTTGTCCCGTTAGTTCGGTCCCTCAAGCTTCTAAATATTAATGTTGTTTTCAAGTATGACTCAACCATTACCAATATGTTAATACGGAATAGCCCAAGTTTGAATGTAAATGGAAGTGTTTATTGTATTCCATGTAGCAAATGTAATTTTAATTATGTAGGTCAGACAGGAAAAACACTGCAGCTCAGAATCAAACAACATAAGTATAATATCAGAACTGCATCTGAAAGCAGTGCCTTGTTCGTTCATGTTAGGAATAATAATCACCCCATTGCTTGGGAAAAAAGCTTGGAAGTATTCAAATCATCTTGTGTCACAGAAAGACTTCTGGTTGAAGCTAGTTTGATTAAGGAATTAAAATCAATAAACCTTAGTGATGGTCAGTTCAAAACTGATAATATGTTACATAAATTTATTTGTCAGTGGCCCAAGGTTAAAAATGCTTTGAAAACCTTTGATCTTGATGTATGACAGTTATTTTGTGGGTCCCTTTTTTCTGACCTGACTTGTCTAGTCACGTCACCACCCTTCTCTTAAGCTCCTCTACGGTTGTGTTGGTGTGGGGATTAGTGGATGTCATCATTATGACCTGACCTCATGTTTTTAGGTCACCCTGTATATTTAAGCCTCTCTCTGTCCATGTAATCCAGTTGCCTCTGAAGATGTCTTGAATAAAGACGAAAGCTAAGGTACTCCGTTGTTTCCATTTTCCCGTGTGATTTTATCAATATATATATATATATATATATATATATATATATATATATATATATATATATATATATATATATATATATATATATATATATATATATATATATATATATATATATATATATATATATATATATATATATATATATATATATATATATATATATTTTTTTTTTTTTTATTAAGCAACAGAGAATGACAATATGAGGTACTGTCTGAATAATATCTCACAATACTACCATTATTATTATTATTATTATTATTGTAAAGATTTTTCATCAGTACAGAGCTTACAGTCCAGAGAATAACAACACATATAACAGTAAGTAAATACACCCACGTGAGTTGACACACCCTCCAGTAATTAAAGTGAGATTAAGACCTGACCCAGTAGAGGTCACGGTCACAATGAACCAAAGTTCTCACCGCCTTGTCATTATTTAACCCGGCATCATGACTGTGTTAACTCCGAAACTAACCTCCAGTCAGCTGTCCAGACCTACCCAGTCGAGTGTTAATTAAGAGATGTCATCTGCTGGCTTGTAACCTCCAATATAAGGGGCCTGCACCTCCTTCCATGAAGGATTACTATTATAACAGGGAAGGGGCCGACAGCTCCTTCCCAGAGACAGAACTCAGAAGACAAAAGTCACGCTCGTCACTAATCGAGGTCGGGAGGGAGATTTTCACTTCCCAGCACCAAGCCTCAGCTAGCAGTCTCTCCCACAGGAGACATATTCCAGCACTCTCTTCAGTAGCACCTGCAGACATCCCCCAGCTGCTGGGCCGCCCTCAGGTCACACGTGACTCATTGTCAAGGCGATCCGTGGGGTGAGTTACTTACGGTGGGAAGTGTATCCATCTCATGTTTGTGCCCGAGAGTCATTGTCTAGTAACGTCAATATAATGATCTATTAATGCGTCTGTGTCATTAAGTTAACTAATAAATAACTGTACTTAGAATTGGTGTCTAGAGCAGTGGTTCTCAACCTTGTTTGCCCCATGCACCCCTTTCACCATATGTCGGAATGTCATTTCCCCCTCCTTTCAAAGATTGTCTGCCTCAAAAAGTGCATTCCAAATAATATGCATATAATACTGAAAATCCTTTATTTTTTCCATATTAGTATCAGTTTCCCCCACTCCCCTGAAAACCTGAGGGGGGAAATTCCCCCCTGGTTCAGAACCCCTGGTCTAGAGGGTTAAACCATCGTCCTTGAGGGGGTTAAACCATCGTCCTTGAACTAAGGACAAGAGCCGGCTCTCTCATACCAACCAAACTGCTGGTTCATCCTCGCGCCATTAATATTTTTTTCCGACGCTTGGATGGTGTAAAAATGCCTCCCGCTGCCTCGGTTCCTTAAGGGGCGTGTTCAGTGTTGGTGTGGGTAAGTATGTGGTGGTGGTGGTGGTGGTGAGGGTAGTGATGGCGGTGGTGAGGGTAGTGATGGCGGTGGTGAGGGTAGTGATGGTGGTGGTGAGGGTGGTGATGGTGGTGGTGGGGGTGGTGATGGTGGTGGTGAGGGTGGTGATGGTGAGGGTGGTGATGGTGGTGGTGGGGGGGTGGTGATGGTGGTGGGTGAGGGTGGTGGTGGATGGTGGTGGTGGGGTGTGGTGATGGTGGTGGTGGGGTGGTGGTGGTGGGGGTGGTGATGGTGGTGGATGGTGGTGGTGATGGTGGTGGTGAGGGGTGAGTGGTGGTGGTGGTGGGGTGTGATGGTGGTGGTGAGGGGTAGTGATGGATGGTGTTGGTGGGGTGGTGAGGGTGGTGGTGATGGTGGTGGTGAGGGGTAGTGATGGTGGTGGTGGGGGTAGTGATGGTGGTGGTGAGGGTGGTGATGGTGGTAGTGATGGTGGTGGTGTGGGTAGTGATGGTGGTGGTGGTGTGTGATGGTGGTGGTGTGGGTAGTGATGGTGGTGGAGGGTAGGTGATGATGGTGGTGGGGGTGGTGATGGTGGTGGTGGGGGTGGTGATGGTGGTGGTGGTGATGGTGGGTGGTGAGGTAGTGATGGTGGTGGATGGTGGTGGTGAGGGTAGTGATGGTGGTGGTGTGAGGGTAGTGATGGTGGTGGTGTGGGTAGTGATGGTGGTTGGTGGGTAGTGATGGTGGTGGTGGGGGTGGTATGGTGGTGGTGGGGGCAGTGATGGTGGTGGTGGGGTAGTGATGGTGGTGTGGTGAGGGGTGGTGATGTGGTGGTGGGGGTGGGGATGGTGGTGGTGAGGGTAGTGATGGTGGTGGTGAGGGTAGTGATGGTGGTGGTGGTGTGGGTAGTGATGGTGGGGTGTGATGGTGGTGGTGAGGGTGGTGGGGTAGTGATGGTGGTGGTGGGGCTGGTGAGGTAGTGATGGTGGTGGCGAGGGTAGTGATGGTGGTGGCGAGGGTAGTGATGGTGGTGGTAGGGGTGGTGTTGGTGGTGGATGGTAGTGAGGGTACTGGTGGTGGTGGTGGTGATAAGATGTGGTGATGGTGGTATTGATGGTGGGGAGTGGTGGTTATGGTGGGGAGTGGTGGTTATGGTGGTGAGTGGTGGTGATAATGTGTGTTGAAGGTGATAAGGTGTAGCGATGAAGGGGTTGAGGATGATAATAGTGATGATGGTGATGATGCTTATAATGATGCTAAAAATGAAATTGATTGTCATAATGATGATAATGGTAATGGCTAGTACACTTATTGAAAAATGGGTTAATAATAAGACCTTAATGATAATAATAATGTAATGAGGGTAAATTAGGATAAAGGAATTACAAGTAAAGTAAGAATTTATATTTGTAGGACGATGGTTTAACCCTCTCAAGGACGATGGTTTAACCCTCTCAAGGACGATGGTTTAACCCTCTCAAGGATGATGGTTTAACCCTCTCAAGGACGATGATTTAACACCCTAAAGACGATGGTTTAACCCCCTAAGGATGATGGTTTAACCCTCTCAAAGACGATGATTTAACCCTCTCAAGGACGATGGTTTAACCCCCTAAGGACGTTGGTTTAACCCTCTCAAGGACGATGGTTTAACCCCCTCAAGGACGATGATTTAACCCTCTCAAGGATGATGGTTTAACACCCCTTCAATGACGATGGTTTAACCCTCTCAAGGACGATGGTTTAACCCTCTCAAGGATGATGGTTTAACACCCCTCCAATGACGATGGTTTAACCCTCTCAAGGACGATGGCTTAACCCTCTCAAGGACGATGATTTAACTCCCTGGAGATTATAGTTTGAAGGTGGTCCTCAAAGAGCAAATAGACCCCAGTTCTAATAGGTCGTAATCTAACCTAACCTACACAAAATGTGACAATACTGTACTGATTTTTGTGCCCTATAGACAAACTATTAAAGTGCGCCGCGCGCACGCACACACGCGCTGGCACACACAAGCGCGCACACACGCACACACACATCATCGTAACAAATTCGAACCCCTGACAGGACCCCTAAACCAAATCCCTCGGACTATTACTGATAATATGTAAAGTCAGACCAATTTATTTCACCAAAATCGAATTCGGTCCCTGACTCGGGATATCCAGAGCACCTGTGACTTACCTTTTTGTATTCAGAAGACGGTGTGTCCTCGTCGGGTGAAGAAGATCGATATTATGTAACTCGTCTTGTAAGATTCCTCATCACATGGTCGTCGTCCAGGATGAAGTTGTCGTTTAGTTTAGTTTACCTGAATGTAGCGTGGTTCTGCCGATTTTCTTTCAAGGAGTAACTTCACAAGAACAAGTTATATCGCAGGACACTGCGTCCCCTGAGCTGTTAGGTCGACACACTCTGAGGCAGCAAGAAGTAGTGGTGCTGGAATAGCGATGGCGGTTACTAGAAGCCGGATATAGCGTTAGATGTCAAGAGCTCTAGATACCGATATCTAGAAATAGTGACGAAGATATCGACAGCTCGAGGCAGAATCGTAGGTATCGAAAAGTTAAACAGAAAATATGTAGACGCCAAAAGCTCAAGAGATTTGGAGGACGTGAAGTTGAAGGGTGATGGGTGGTGGGCACGCAAGAGGACCACGGCTGTCGTAGTGTAGGGGAGGAGTGAAGCAAGAGGAGTGAAGTCCAGACCAGGGCACGACTGACCAGGTAACCTAGCGACCCACACACAGTTGCCACCCCCCCTGAATTCCCAAACACCCTTACGTAAAATTTACCTTTTGAGGGTGAGAGAAAGTGCACATCCAACGATAGTAAATACCATCTCAGAATGCTACATTTTCGGGGCGCCCAAACTACCCTCCACCAGTCCCCTAAATACAATTCCTACGCTTCTATAAACTCAAATATTATACACGTTCTCACACCACTCAATGAGGAGATGTTTACCGTACGCATTCCTCGGTTATCTGGATGGGAGTACGGTACAGGTAATGAGGCCCTGGAGTCCGAAAGAGAGAGCTAGCCTTGGGTACGTCCCACCATGTACTGTAGAGTTCGTCCCATATTTGCCATCAGGAAAGGGAGGGGGTAAGTGTGTGTGTGTGCATGTGAGTGTATATATGTGTATGTGTGTACGTGTGTGTGTACGCGTATGTGTGTGCGTGTACGTGTGTGTGTGTGTGTGACCTTGTGTGTGTATAATAATAATAATAATAATAATAATAATAATAATAATAATAATAAATAATAATAATAATAATAAACAGTTTATTGAAAGAGCATGGCAGCCGGAAGACTGAAAATATACTGTTACATAATTGGGGAATGGGTCTCTTGATTGACAAATAATATACAAGTAACATAAGTGATACAAATATGCTATGTGATAACTAGGTGGGGAGAAGGTTTGACTTCAGGGCATTTCAACATAGTGACAGTGCAAAAAGATAAGATTAACTGGGAGAGAATACACTGGTTGATTATATAAGAATTGTTGATAACACTAGTTGACAAGGGTTCAGTAACATAGATCAAATACGCTGCACTTTATTAATTTTGGGCTGATTTCAAATATGGCAATAAAAAATGTCAGTATGCAGATGACCTCACCCTCGTCACTCACACTGAATGCGACCTACCAGAGATCTTGAACACCTACGCCAATTCATATGCACACTTCGTCCTTGAGGTGAACGCATGTAAGATTCAGATTCTTTTTCAGCTTGCCCCTGGTTAAACTGCACCTCCACCATCCATCCAGCTTAACGTTACTACCTTCTCCAATGTTATCCACTTCCAGTACCTTGGCTCCCACCTGTCCACCACAGGGGATATTGATGAAGATACAACATCGGATCAGATGTGCATCTCAAGCTTTTGACAGACTCCGTAACCATGTCTTCAGTTGTAGGGACATGAAATTATCTACAAAGTTGCACGTGTATCGAGCAGTGTTCCTTCCCACCCTGCTGTATGGCAGTGAGACATGGGTCGCATACAGGAGGGACCTCAAGGCACTTGAAAAATTTCACTGCGAAGACAATAGAACAAATGCTAGTATTTTCGCTGACACCAACTGCAGCAGCATTGGGGCTACCATTATCCATGAACAACTGCGTTGGATTGGCCATCTTACCTGCATTGACGACAGTAGACTGCCAAAGCAGCTACTTCAGTGACCTAGTGAATAGTAAATGTGACGCTGGCGGACAATGGAAAAGTTATAATGATAATCTTGAGACAATTTGAAAAAGTGCCAAATCGACCCACTCACCTGGGAGACGATCACTCAACACTATAAGCCTTGGAGGAGCACCACACGAGAAGGTGTCAATACAAGTTAGCCAGACTACATACCGAGACAGACAAGCGCCAGCACTGGAATGACGCTGCCGCTGCCCCTCCAGCACTAGATGTAGCCCTCCACTCATGCAATATCTGTGGACGGCCCTGCCGGTGTCTTATTGGCTTCTCGAGTCACTTCAGAGCTCACCAACGAAGATGACATCCTTAATAACTCACGTCATTGTAACAGACGGGTGATCGTCATACTTGATTCCGAGTTAGAGCAAATTAGTACTGTAGTAGTAGTAATGTCTACGTGTGTGTGTGTGTGTGTGTGTGTGTGTGTGTTTTAGGGACCCTTTGTTGCATCACGCTAACCTATATTAGAGACTGGTGATTCACATGGGCCCAGAGTTTAAGCGCCGCAGTTCCATGGGACCCCAGTGCTGTTTAAGCTTAGATTGGGGCCCATTAGGAAAGGCCCATTAGAACTGGGGACCATTGACTAGGAATAATTAGACAGGGGACCATTATACGGGGACCATTATACGGGGGCCATTAGACAGAAGACCATTAGACAGGTGACCATTAGGATAGGGGAACCATTGACAGTGGACCATTAGGATAGGGGGACCATTGACAGTAGACCATTCGGAGAAGGAGACCATTGGCAGTGGACCATTAGGACAGTAAACCATTAGGACAGGAGACCATTAGACAGGGGACCATTAGGACAAGGGGCCCATTAACAGTGGACCATTAGGAGAGGGGTCATTAGGATAGAGATCATTAAACAAGGACCATTAAGATGGGACACCATTACGACAGGAACTCATTAGGACAGAGAATCCATTACGATAGAGGACCCATGAGGACAGGGGCCATTAGGACAGGAGACCATTAGACAGGGCGTTAGGACAGTAGATCATTAGACAGGAGACCATTAGGACATGAGACCATTAGAAAAGGGACCATTAGGACAGGTGACCATTACATAGAGACTCATTAGGACTGACCCATTAGGACAGTGACCCTTTAGAACAAGGACCCATTAGGGCATGGGACCATTAGGTCAGGGGACCATTAGGACAGGGGACCATTAGAACAGGCGACCATTGGGACAGGGGACCGTTACATAAAGACCCATTAGGACAGGTACTCAATAGGACAGGGGACCATTATCCAGGGACCCATTAGGACTGGGACCCATTAGGGCAGCAGACCAATAGGACAGGTGCCCATTAGGACAGGAGACCACTAGAACAGGAGACCATTAGAACAGGAGACCATTAGGACAGGGGCCAATTAGGACAAGTACCCATTTGGGCACCTCAACCATTACCAAATTACTTAGTTATTTTTTCGCCAACGTCTTGACAGTGAACGGTAGACATGACAGTGAACAGAACATATGACAGTGAACGGTAGATCATGACAATGAATGGTAGATATGACAGTGAACAGTAGAGATGATAGTGAATGGTAGACATGACAGTGAACGGAAGACATGACAGTGAACAGAACATATTACAGTGAACGGTAGACATGACAGTGAACAGAACATATGACAGTGAACAGTAGAGATGATAGTGAATGGTAGACATGACAGTGAACGGAAGACATGACAGTGAACAGAACATATTACAGTGAACGGTAGACATGACAGTAAACAGAACATAAGAGTGAACGGATGACAATGCACGGATGACATGACAGTGAATGGTAGACATGACAGTGAATGGTAGACATGACAGTGACCGGTAGACATGGCAAGGGACGGTAGACATGACACTGAACGATAGACGTGACAGTGAGCGGTAGACGTGACAGTGAACGGTAGACGTGACAGTGAACAGTTTATCAATCTCCCTATTTCAGCCAAGTTAAAGTAAATCTAATTTATGAGGTAAAGTCAAACGTCAGGGAAGTAATAATTATTTCTTGTCTTTATTTCATCTTACGTCTACCCGGCCTTCTCATATACCCGGCCTTCTCATATACCCGGCCTTCTCATATACCCGGCCTTCTCATATACCCGGCCTTCTCATATACCCGGCCTTCTCATATACCCGGCCTTCTCATATACCCGGCCTTCTCTATACCCGGCCTTCTCATATACCTGGCCTTCATACCCGGCCTTCTCATTACCCGGCCTCATATACCCGGCCTTCTCATATACCCGGCCTTCTCATATACCCGGCCTTTCATATACCCGGCCTTCTCATATACCCGGCCTTCTCATATACCCGGCTCTATACCCGGCCTCATATATCCGGCCTTCCGGCCTTCTATATCCGGCCTTCTCATATTCACCTTCTCTATATATCCGCCTCCCCTATACCCGGCCTCCTCATATACCTGGCCCTCTTACACCTGGCCCTCTTACACCTGGCCCTCTTACACCTGGCCCTCTTACACCTGGCCCTCTTATACCTGGCCCTCTTACACCTGGCCCTCTTACACCTGGCCCTCTTACACCTGGCTCTCATTTCCCAACACATACAGGTAATATAAAAAAAACTAATTTAGACCTAAGAAACCCAATATTTTATACAGTACAAATTTCAATAGTGTTTATAACTATTAGAAATATAATATTGGCTTTACATGAACTCTTAACCAGAACAAAATTTGTGCAGCCCATTCAAATACTTGTGTGTGTGTGTGTGTGTGTGTGTGTGTGTGTGTGTGTGTTGTTTTGAGTCCTCACATCCACACTAAAGGTAAACAAATATTCTTAAAGCATTCAGAGTTCATCCTGCGCCGAGTGACTCTTCTCTTCCCTTTGTGGCGTTTGTCTCGCCTCGTCACCATCCACCACCTCAGCGTTGAGGAGGGCGTTGAGCTTAGTGGGCAGAGAGGCGTGGAACTCCCTCACCTGGGGACACAAGTCACACAGGTAAAACACTACAAGAGATGGACTGGTATTGTGAAGTGTAACTGATGAAGAGGAGGAGGAGGAGGAGGAAGAAAAGGGGGTGAAGGAAGAGGAGTCGAGGAAGAGGAGGGGGTGAAGGGGAGGAAGAGCAGTCCAGGAAAAGAAAAAGGAAGAGGAAGAGAAGGAGTCGAGGAAGAGAAGAAGGAGGAGGAAGGGAGGGAGGAGGAGGAAGGGAAGGAGGAGGAAAATGAGTGGAGGATGAGAAGGATGGAGGAGGAAAAGAAAGAGGAGGAAGTGGAAGAGGAAGAGCAGGAAGAAGAGAAAGAGAAGGAGGTGGAGGACGGGGAGAGGTATGTGTGTTATACACAACCAACAGTAAATCACACACCTTCTGACGACGGTCGGGCTTCATAACAGGTGGCAGTACCAGGGAGGCATAATGGAGGTTGTCCTCGGTGGCAGGTTCCCAGGTGAACCCAAGGGACCCGTCAGGAGTTGGGTTCCTGCAGAAGAGACAGAGAACAATGCTGTTGTAATCTTCCGTTCAGTTAAGGGAAGTTCGGATACAGTACATTGGAGACTTAAACAATCGATACCTCTACCATTCCTACCAGAACCTCTCCCATCACTACCCCTCCTACCAGAACCTCTCCCATCACTACCCCTCCTACCAAAACCTCTCGCATCACTACCCCTCCTACCAGAACCTCTCCCATCACTACCCCTCCTACCAGAACCTCTCCCATCACTACCCCTCCTACCAGAACCTCTCCCATCACTACCCCTCCTACCAGAACCTCTCCCATCACTACCCCTCCTACCAGAACCTCTCCCATCACTACCCCTCCTACCAGAACCTCTCCCATCACTACCCCTCCTACCAGAACCTCTCCCATCACTACCCCTCCTACCAGAACCTCTCCCATCACTACCCCTCCTACCAGAACCTCTCCCATCACTACCCCTCCTACCAGAACCTCTCCCATCACTACCCCTCCTACCAGAACCTCTCCCATCACTACCCCTCCTCTCCAGAACCTCTCCCATCCACTACCCCTCCTGAGAACCTCTCCCATCCCACTACCCTCTACAGAACCTCTCCCATCACTACCCCACCTACAGAACCTCTCCCATCTACCCCTCCTACCAGAACCTCTCCCATCACTACCCCTCCTACCAGAACCTCTCCATCACTACCCCTCCTACCAGAACCTCTCCCATCACTACCCCTCCTACCAGAACCTCTCCCATCACTACCCTTCTACCAGAACCTCTCCCATCACTACCCCTCCTACCAGAACCTCTCCCATCACTACCCCTCCTACCAGAACCTCTCCCATCACTACCCCTCCTACCAGAACCTCTCCCATCACTACCCCTCCTACCAGATCTTCTCCCATCACTACAGAACCTCTCCCATCACTACCCCCACACTAAAACCTCTCCAATTTACCCTGTGGCGGCGAAGTTGGTCCACATTTTTGACATAATGCTCCTCATCTTCAAGTCTTGGGTTGAAGTCAGCTGTCGTGCCCGATTGTGTGGTTTAAGTAAAGGGCCTCCAGAGAAGATGTAATACAAGTCATCCACGTGAGGAACCCCTGCAGGTGTGTAATGGCAATACTTATTAGTTTAGTGAGGTGTGTAGGTGTGTAATGATATCTGTTAAGTTCAGGTTTGTTGTGCGAAGGGTGGTAGGATACAGGTGTGGCAGAGGAGGTAGGGTATAGGTGTGGCATGGAAGGTAGGGTATAGGTGTGGCAGGGGAGGTAGAGTACATGTTTGGCAGAGAAGGTAGGGTACAGGTGTGGCAGGGAAGGTAGGGTACAGGTGTGGCAGGGAAGGTAGGGTATAGGTGTGGCAGGGAAGGTAGGGTACAGGTGTGGCAGGGGAGTAGGGTACAGGTGTGGCAGGGGAGTAGGGTACAGGTGCGGCAGGGGAGGTAGGGTACATGTGCGGCAGGGGAGGTAGGGTACAGGTGAGGGAAGAAAGCTACAGCAAAGTGCAAGTTTGACTCCCATTACATAACTGACACTTAAAGATACTTGTCTGTGACTTTACTCTACTCTAATCTACAATACTTAACAACCACTTAATACTCTACAGTACAACCTACAACTCATAACAGCCATTTAAGATTCTTTACAATGCTTTATAACCCTTAACTATCCCGTATATCCCTTAACAGCCACTTATAACCTTTCGCATCCACTTACACTCCTAGAAATACCACTTGAAACATTAGAAAATACTTACAACCCCCAAGAGTCACTTATACTTCTTGACAACCACTTATAATCCTTAACAATCGCTTATAACTCATGACAACAAGTTAAAACCCTTAACAACCCTTTAATAACTCTTTGACAGGCAGCTATCTATAACACCTTACAATCCCTTAACAACTCGTGATAACCACTTACAATGTTTTCCGACTTCGCTGTCAAAGTTGTCACTGAAGGACACCTCCCCTCGGTAACCAAACACATAGCGGTAGGTGGTGAGCCCGTGCCTGGCGTGTTGCTGCGTTACCAGGTCATGAGGCACCGCGAAGAATATGTCCGTGAAGAGCTGTAAAGGAGATCAGTGTATCTGGGTATATTGGAGTTCTCGTTTGTTTCCGCAAATAAATATACCCCTTCAACCCCTGGTAGGACCCCTTATACCCCTGACTGGACCCCATAAACCCCTGGCTGGACCCCTTATACCCCTGGCTGGACCCCTTATACCCCTGACTGGACCCCTTATACCCCTGACTGGACCCCTTAAACCCCTGGCTGGACCCCTTAAACCCCTGGCTGGACCCCTTAAACCCCTGGCTGGACCCCTTAAACCCCTGGCTGGACCCCTTATACCCCTGACTGGACCCCTTATACCCCTGACTGGACCCCTTAAACCCCTGGCTGGACCCCTTAAACCCCTGACTGGACCCCTTACTCCCCTGACTTGACCCTTTAAACCCCTGACTGGACCCCTTAAACCCCTGGCTGGACCCCTTAAACCCCTGACTGGACCCCTTACTCCCCTGACTTGACCCTTTAAACCCCTGACTGGACCCCTTAAACCATCATTTCACATAAAAGCTATTCATTTAAGCCTTCAGAATGCAAGGAGGCAGCTGGGTGGATTGGGAGTGCAGCCATAAGTACCAATGCTGTATCCGCTCGGCCTTTACATTCTATACCTTCAAACAAACATGACACAGAGAAACAGCGGCCCGGGAGACACGTCAGGCTCTTGACGCACAGCAGGTGGTGGAGGCCAGTCAAGGGAACGACGCCCCTCCACCAGCCGGAGACACCGACCAAGATGCTACCATGGTGCGGTGAACCCCCGGAGGAGGACGAGCTGCCCCTGCTGCCACACTTTTTTTTTAGTCTCCAGCCACACATACTACAGCAACTCACTTATGATAAATGATTCAGTTGTAACGGAACCCTCCCTCATTGCCAACCACTTCAATGAATATTTTATTAATGTTGGCAAAAATTTTGCAGAGAGCATCCCTGATCACCATGAGGAATTTAGAGCCTACATGCAAAACCGACAGCAAAATGAGCTGCTCTTATCCCCTGTCACAGCAGATGAATTGTTGGCCATCATAAAAATGTCCAAAGATGCAGCAGCAGGCGAAGACAATATACCAATGAGCATCATTAAGAAAGTAGCCCACTTATTACTACCTGTTCTCCTACACATTTTTAACTCCTCCTTCACTTGTGGCGTCTTTCCGGATAAACTGAAAACTGCTAAAGTCCTCCCAGCATATAAAAATCTGGGGACAAAGGTCTCTTCAAGAATTACCGCCCCATATCAGTCCTCCCAGCCTTAAGTAAGATACTAGAAAAGCTAGCATGTAGTAGACTAAATTCCTTCTGCAATGCCGATAACATCTTTACAGACTCCCAGCTCGGATTTAGAGCTACAATGTCGACTGAGAGTGCTCTGCTATCCTTTGCTAATGACATCTTAAATTCCTTTGATGACAGTCAGTTCACAGTCGGTTTATTCTTGGACCTCTCTAAAGCCTTCGATACTGTCGACCATACCACCCTCCTTTCAAAGCTTGAACATTACGGCATTAGGGGCCTGTCCCACAATTGGTTTACCTCATATCTGTCCAACAGGATGCAGTATGTCTGCTATAATATTCACCAATCTGACTCCTCGCCAATCCTGTATGGCGTCCCCCAAGGTTCTATTCTCGGTCCAGTGCTGTTTTTGTTGTACATAAACGACGTAGTCCACGCCAGCACACTCATAAAATACAACTTATTTGCAGACGATAGTAATCTCTATGCCAGCAACCCAGACCTCCATTCCTTGAGGAGAACTATGAACACTGAATTGACTAAAGTCAGGACCTGGGTAATACGTAATAAACTGACCTTAAACCTTGAGAAAACCCACTACACGATCTTTCACAGAAGGAAAAACTTACCCCTAGACTTGGACCCCCTGTACCTTGGTAATACAATCCTCAAACGTGAACAAAATACTAAATTCCTCGGAGATATTGTTGATGAGAAATTGAACTGGAGAAACCACATACAAGCCATTCACAGGAAAGTCAATAAACAGTGCGGTATCATGTATCACACTCGACAGTCACTCACTCGCACAGCAATGAAAAAATCTATCATGATCTTGTTTACCAACACCTGATACACTGTCATACACTATGGGAGGCCTCTGGCTCTTCAAAAACATAATCTCTGGTTACTGCACAAAAGAGAGTTGTATGGGCAATGACCAACTTGAAAAAACAGATCACAAAAACGAAAAATTTGCTTAATTGAAAATGTTAAAATTCGAAGATATTAACACCTACTGCTGTGCCTTCTTTGTTTACAAATCTATCAATCAGTTGCTTGACAATAATTATTTCCAGTTCGGCAATAATCAGAGATACAACTTAAGGCACCCAGAGCTACTAAGACCACCCCTCATGCACTCCTCCCAGTTCCAGACCTCCATAAAATATCACGGTGTGAAGGTGTGGAACAACTTACCCCCACCCATCCGAGCAAAGACTATGCTCCCTTCCTTTAAATCATCTCTTAAAAAATATCTATTGTCTAAATATTAATATTTCTTGTAACACCTACTATATTTACAGTACCTGCTTTTATTATACCATCAAAACCGTTTTATCGGAAATTATCATGCAAATAGATAAGAAATTACCATTGCAATAAATATAACTGCCAACTTGACAAAATCCTGACAGCTCTGTCCTCTTGTTCAACCTTATTACTGTACAACCCATGTTGTACTGCTCCCCCATTATACTTATGTTTTTCAAATCCACTGTAATTTATGTATATATAAATAAATAAATAAAAATAAACTAAAAAATAAAAAATAAATAAATAAAATAAATAAATATTGAAGTGATAACCGTGGTAACATTATGAGATGTTCTTATTACCACCATGCTATTGTACTATTCCAGATGATAGTAAATGTTACATAATACTTTATTGAGATAAATGTATAGTATATATCAGGTGCCTAAAAGAGAGCTCAGGTTCTCAACTGGCTCAGCCATGCTAATTTTGTTATTATCCACTCTTGTATCTGTGTTTTTCTGGCTAAATAAACTGTTTCAATTCAATTCAATTCAATTCACCAGGGGATGGGCCCAAACCCGCCCCAGTCATCAGGTACACCGTAGGGTCAAGACGGCTCCGCTGCGTCCATCAGACATCCAACCTACCACGTGAATATTCGGGAGTACAGGCATCCCTTGGCTTATTTACAGGATTAGAGGCAAAATAAGACCTCACCATATGTTTACTGTACCTGTGTGAGATCTTCGGCATGATCCTCGTCCAGTGGCATGTCGTCACCCAGGTAGTGTTGGTAGAGCTGCCTGCTGACCTCCACCTTGTCTTCTTTGTCCTGCACCGTCATTGATATGATTTCTGGTCCATACAATGTAAAGTTCTCCTCCAAGGCGATACGCAGGTGACTAAAGGACCATAATGCTGTGGGGAAACATGTCTTGGTGAGGCTTGGGAAGACTGATGAGGCTGGGAAGGGATTGGTGAAGATTGGTGATGTTAGGGAGGGATTGGTTAAGATTGGTGAGGTTAGGAAGGGATTGGTGAAGATTGGTGATGTTAGGGAGGGATTGATGAGGCTGGGAAAGGATTGGTAAATATTGGTGAGGTTTAAGAAAGTGAATTGCATTTCTCCTGCAGAAAGACGCATTTCATTATCTATTTTTACCATAAAGTAACTAGATAATTCAGCAGTTCTAATTGTTATCCCCCAAAGCACAAATAAATACAACTATCCCCACATACAAAAATCGGAACTCACCCATGCTACACAAGGCTCCGTCCTCAGAGGTGTGCCCAGCCAGGAGGTCGACCTTGTTGTAGCGCCCCTCAAGTATCAACTTGGCCGGCTCATCAGGAAGGTAATCCCCATCGACTCGAGGTGTGAAAACAACTGGCAAGATCCACCAAATCTGTGGGGTACAATAGGTAGTGGTGGTGATGTGGGGGAGAAGAGGTAGTGGGGATGATGTGGGGGAGAAGGGGTAGTGGTGGTGATGTGGGGGAGAAGAGGTAGTGGGGATGATGTGGGGGAGAAGAGGATGGTGGTGATGTGGGGAAGAGGTAGTGGTGATGTGGGGGAGAAGAGTGGTGATGTGGGGAGAGGTAGTGGGGATGATGTGGGGAGAGAGGAAGTGGGGATGATGTGGGGAAGAAGGGGTAAGTAGTGGTGATATGGGGGAGAGAGTAGTGGGGATGATGTGGGGAGAAGAGGTAGTGGTGGTGATGTGGGGGAGAAGAGGTAGTAGTGGTGATGTGGGGAGAAGTGTGTGGTGATGTGGGGAAAGAGGTGGTGGTGGTGATGTGGGGAGAGAGGTAGTGGTGGTGATGGGGGAGAAGAGGTAGTGGGGATGATGTGGGGGAGAGGTAGTGGGATGATGTGGGGAGAAGAGGTTGTGGGGAAGTAGTGGGGATGATGTGGTGGGGATGATGTGGGGAGAAGAGGTGGGGATGATGTGGGGAGAAGAGGTAGTGGTGGTGATGTGGGGGAGAGGGGTAGTAGTGGTGATATGGGGAGAAGAGGTAGTGGGGATGATGTGGGGAGAAGAGTGGTGGTGGTGATGTGGGGAGGAGGGGGTAGTGGGGATGATGTGGGGAGAAGGGGTAGTGGTGGTGATGTGGGGGAGAAGGTGGTGGGGATGATGTGGGGGGAGAAGAGGTGAGTGGTGGTGATGGGGAGGAGAGGTAGTGGGATGATGTGGGGAGATGAGGTAGTAGTAGTGATGTGGGGGAGAAGAGGTAGTGGGGATGATGTGGGGGAGAGAAGAGGTAGTGGTGGTGATGTGGGGAGGAGGGGTGAGTGGGGATGATGTGGGGAAGAAGGGGTGTGGTGGTGATGTGGGGGAGGAGAGGGGTAGTGGGGATGATGTGGGGAGAAGGGGTAGTGGTGGTGATGTGGGGGAGGAGGTGAGTGGGGATGATGGGGGAGAAGGGGTAGTGGTGGTGATGAAGAAGAGATAGTGGGGATGATGAGAGAGGTAGTGGTGGTGGTGGGGAGAAGGGGTAGTGGTGGTGATGTGGGGAGAAGGGGTAGTAGTGGTGATGTGGGGAGAAAGGGCAGTGGTGGTGATGTGGGGAGAAGGGGTAGTGGTGGTGAGGGAGAAGGGGTAGTGGTGGTGATGTGGGGAAGAAGAGGTAGTGGTGGTGATGTGGGGGGAGAAGGGGTGGTGGTGGTGATGTGGGGAGAAGGGTAGTGGTGATGTGAGGAAGAAGGGGTAGTGGTGGTGATGTGGGAGAGAGGTAGTGGTGGTGATGTGGGGAGAAGGGGTAGTGGTGGTGATGTGGGGGTAGTGGTGGTGATGTGGGGAAGAAGGGGTAGTGTGGTGGTGATGTGAGGAAGAAGGGCACTGGTGGTGATGGGGAGAAGGGGTAGTGGTGGTGATGTGGGGGAGAAGGGGTGTGGTGGTGATGTGAGGAAGAAGGGAGTGGTGGTGATGTGGGGAGAAAGAGGTAGTGGGGATGATGTAGGGAGAAAGGGTAGTGGTGGTGATGTGAGGAAGAAGGGGTAGTTAGGTGATGTGGGGAAGAAGGGGTAGTGGGTGGTGATGTGGGGGAGAAGGGGTAGTGGTGGTGATGTGGGGAAGAAGGGGTAGTGGTGGTGATGTGGGGAAGAAGGGGTAGTGGAGGAGGTGAAATGTATTGCTGACAACGTTACACCGAAACTCTCCGTTAACTAGATACGTTCACTTACCACCAATTCGAGAATAATTATTAAGTTAAGACAATAAAACTAGCTTTACCATAAAATCCGGGAACAATGAAGCCAGCTGACGGGCGTCCACCTTCTGCAGACAGGAAAGAAGGGCTTGGCTACCCTGATGGGCGGGGCATTTCATGGTCACACCCACCTCCTCCGCCAACTCCCGGAATTTTTCATATATTGCCCAATTCGAGATAGCTGTACCCGACTGCATGATGACCCGAGAGAAAAGTCCTGTGGGCAATAGTTTATTTAAAATAATTACAAGGGCAAGAGGTCACATGACAGTCTTCAGGGCAATAGAGGTCAATTATGACCTAATCTTGGAGCAACATGGGTCATAAGAGCATTTTTCTGGGTACCTGAATGACAGTGAAACCAAGTCACTGACTAATTGGTATACAGTGCATCTGGCGTCCTAACAGTTAAGCCATGTGACACTGGGTACACTTCAAGATGGATTTTCTAGAAAAAATAAATAATAAAAATTATATATACAATACATGCATATATTTATAACAGCACTTAAGATATTATAAAAACTATATTATGCAGTAAATCCGGGAGAAAGTTAACCCCCTCGATTAACTTTAAAAAATACTTCATCCTCTGAGAATAAGGGAGAGGCAGTAGTAACCATCCTCTCCCGGGTCCTGCTGCCGCCAACCTTAATATCCCCCCCCCCCCTCCCACGTCGGATCCAATGATCAGATAATTGCTCATTCAGGGACGATGTCCATATCAATAAGATAAATTAACTAAGAGCAGCCTTACAACTTTTTCTCTGATAACGAGCGACACGTCATTATCTTTAACATTATATCGTTGGTATTAGGTACTCAACCACGCCTCTTCATCTCAAAGTACTTGTCTGTTTGATCTTCTGCATTAATTGTTATTTTAAGGTCATTTATGCTGCCATATCGACACTATCAAGGTGTAGTATATCGCAATCTATCTTAAGCTTTAGTTAATTAAAGGTTGGTTTCTGTCGTCCGCTAAGTTTTTTCTACAAGAATCACCAGTGTTTAGTATACTCGACTCGTACAGTAGTGTGAAGTAGTGTGGGATGAACATGAAAGTTCCATCGGCTTCAAGTAAAACTAACTAATCTAACCCAACCATTATCAAGGTCACAATTATTAAGGAGAACTTTGACAATGTAGTTGTGGCGTCTCGTGACTGGCGCCGTGGTTGATACGGTCCTGCCATATACCACAGGTCAAGATAGTGTAGAGGAGACAAGAGGTGATACCAGCCTCGACTACACCTCCCACTTGTCGTAAGGCTGCCTGGTCTCATGGTCTACACCACCTCCCTCTCTCCCACCCCTATGTCCTCTACCACCCCTCTCTCCTCTACTTCCGTCTTCACCACCCCTCTCTCCGGCACCTCCGTCTTTACTACCACTCTCTACCACCACCTCCCTCTCTCTCCGCCCCCTCCCCTCTCTCCGCCCCCTCCCCTCTCTCCCCCCTCCCTCTCTCTCCGCCCCTCCCCTCTCTCCGCCCCCTCCCTCTCTCTCCGCCACCTCCCTCTCTCCGCCACCTCCCTCTCACCTCCACCTTCCTCTCACCTTTAGACTTGGGTGACAGCATGTGAAAGTGCACAGAGGCTCCACCAGCGCTCTCGCCGAAGATGGTGACCTTGGTCTTGTCTCCACCAAAGTTGTTTATGTTCCGCTGCACCCACTTGAGGGCCAGCGTCTGGTCCTTCAACCCGAAGTTGCCAGGGATCACCGAGTCCTCCGTCGACAGGAAACCTGAGGTTGTGAAGATAAGATAGTTGCATAACTGAGTCAACAAGACCTACATTATGATGACTTGAAAATATATTCTCTTAGGAAATAGTTAACTTACCTATATAAATCACTCGAGTCTCCGTAGAGAAGAGTAAAGGTGTGAAATTACAGAAAACACAGTCAAAATCAATCTCTCTCTCTCTCTCTCTCTCTCTCTCTCTCTCTCTCAGCTGAAATATTATAATTTCCTTCAGGATTCTATAATGGTAGTAGACATTGCATCTACCCTGAGAATTTACCCCTCACTGAACACCCACCTCCGCTTAATTTCCTCCCTGACATATATTACCATGACCGGCCTGACACCCCTCCTCCCTCACTGAGATACCTGGTGGTGCGAAATCGAGAGGATCAAGAGTGCCACAAGCAGTCATTAAAGGAATTCACGGGAATAGAAATGACCTTCAAAACAGCCCAAGACTCACCCAAGACCCCCAACCTGTACTGAATCACCACTAACACGACGTCATGGTCAAGAATCACCAGCGGCAGGTACTCTTTGGTGCTGCCAGAGAAGTAGGCCCCACCATGGATCCACACCATCACTGGAAGGTCCGCCTTTGGCCCATTATCCTGCAGGAGCAAAACAAAAAAAGACATCATAGGAGTGAAGGGCATTTAAAGTAAAGGTGCAGTTACCCCTAAATGAGGGTTAAGATCAAGGTTGGTAATTCTGTTTTCGGTTAAGGGGATCATCAGGGGTTTAAGGGGTCATGTAAGGGTTTAAACCTCAATATGTCCCATTAATCCCCCGATATGACCCCTTAATGACTTAACCTAACTTAATATAACCTAACCGCAACACCTCTAATACTCACCACGGGCGTGTAGACGTTGAGGTAGAGACAGTCCTCGACACCAAGAAGTTTCTCAGGTGGGACTCGGACTCCAGAGGTGAACATAAAGAAGGACACCTGAAGACATGGCTCAGGCAGCTTTGTGCCATCCCTCACGCCCTCCCACGGCTCGGAGGGTACCGGGTCCTGGAGGATCATATTATTATTATTATTATTATTATTATTATTATTATTATTATCATCATCTTCAGTTACGCATATATATTTACCTTAAATCTGAGGTCACCAACAGGAGGCTTAGCGAAGGGAATGCCTTGGTAAGCATACAGGGCCCTGCTGCTGGCCGACCTCTGGCGAACACCTGTGACCCAGCCATCCTCCGTCAGTACTGCTGGGGCGTCACTGCTACCTGCTGCCTTCAGTGACAATACGATTCCCAAGACCAACCCTCGAATCCTGAAAATAGGGGGGTGGTTAGAGGGGGTGGTAGGTGGTGGTGGCAGGAGGTAGGTGGTGGCAGTATTGTCGCCTATACCTATATTAGGTTACCAGTGACAAAACTACCAATTGTCACCACCACCACTACGAACATTTATTAACACTAATGACAACTCCTCCGCCAACAGTGACACCACTACCAATGACTTCATTATTTTCGCCACTAATACCAACACAACCAACACCCGACCAATACCTCACTTATACCCCCGACCAATACCTCACTTATACCCCCGACCAATACCTCACTTATAACCCCGACCAATACCTCACCTATACCGGACCAATACCTTACTTATAACCCCGACCAATACCTCACCTACACCGGACCAATACCTTACTTATAACCTTCGACCAATACTCACTTACCGACCAATACCTCCTTATACCCCGACCAATACCTCCTTATCCCGACCAATACCTCCTTATAACCCCTCAATACCTCACTAACCTTGTACACCCGACCAATACCTCACTTATAACCCCGACCAATACCTCACCTACTGTACACCCGACCAATACCTCACTTATAACCCCGACCAATACCTCACCTACACCCGACCAATGCCTCACTTGTACACCCGACCAATACCTCACTTATACACCCAACTAATACTAAACCCAACCAAATACCACACCCGACCAATACCACAGCCGACCAATTCTACACCCGACCAATATGGCACCAATATTAGACCGTAACTACCTGAACCAGTCACGTTCACGTTCTATCAAGCCACGTTCACGGTCTATCAGTCAATGTACGATAACAGTGTAAATATTCCGAACGAGGATCCTTATAATAACCTTGCCTGATAAATGAACCGACTGTACGCACTTGAGGTACAATCTCAACTCAATACTCATGACATGCTGGTTGATTATTGTGATGAGTGTGTGTTGATAGGAGTACTCACATATCCTGATAAGAACTTAAACGTACGAACCTTTATGAATCCATTTCTTGTCGCAACTATACTGAAACGGTCACGTTCCCACACACATTGATTTACGAGAATTTGTCAACTTACGATACTTTAAGAATTCATTTTTTATTGAAACTTCTGTGATAATTGAATTTTTTGTTACGAGGGAAATTTTAACGTACGATCTATTGTGACTCCATTGTGACTATTGTAACTAGAGAAGTTCTAGCTCAGTGAATTACGAGCAGAACTGAACATATGATGTTGTAAGACTGTAATTGTGCCGTACCGTGAGCAAGACGAGTGTGGTACCTTGAGCAAGACGAGTGTCGACACTAACCTAACACAACCAATGGCCCCTTGACACTAACCTAACACAACCAATGGCCCCTTGACACTAACCTAACACAACCAATGGCCCCTTGACACTAACCTAACACAACCAATGGCCCCTTGACACTAACCTAACACAACCAATGGCCCCAAGACACTAACCAAACACAACCAATGGCCCCAAGACACTAACCTAATACAATCAATGGCCCCAAGACACTAAACTAACACAACTAATGGCCCATTGACACTAACCTAACACAACCAATGGCCCCTTGACACTAACCTAACACAACCAATGGCCCCAAGACACTAAACTAACACAACCAATGGCCCCAAGACACTAACCTAATACAATCAATGGCCCCAAGACACTAAACTAACATAACTAATGGCCCATTGACACTAACCTAACACAACCAATGGCCCCAAGACACTAAACTAACACAACCAATGGCCCCAAGACACTAAACTAACACAATCAATGGCCTCTTGGGCTCTCAAACCTAACACTCAGCCACTCTCGACCATTCATCGTTTAAGTCAGAAGGAGGCCAGTATGTACTCTACATACATCCCTGCTGGCCGCCTGTCACGTCCAATAATCGTATCTGACTCTCACTTACACCACGACGCAAAACTTACTTCCCAGAACTGGTTGAGCACATACGACTTCTGACTGATGACGTGAGTGTGTCTTATTGAAACATTACACCCGCAGTCCCGTCCACACCACGAGTCTCCACACTACACCCCAGGCCCGTCCACACCATGAACTCCACACTACACCCCGGCCCGACCACACCATGAACTCCACACTACACCCCGGCCCGTCCACACCATAACTCCACTCACCCTGGCCCGTCCACACCATGAACTCCAAACACCCCTGGCCCCTCCACACCACGAGCTCCACACACCCTGGCCCGTCCACACCACGAGCTCCACACTACACCCCAAGCCCGTCCACACCACGAGCTCCACACTACACCCCAAGCCCGTCCACACCACGAGCTCCACACTACACCCCCAGCCTGTCCACACCACGAGCTCCACACTACACCCCCGGACTACACATCCTCTCACTAAAGCAGTTTGTGACGAATGATTTTTCCCCGAGAGAGGAGGAGCTGTGGGATTATTGGCCTCTGGGCTCTGAATATCACTAAGTAGGAAGGAGAGAGAGAGAGAGAGAGAGAGAGAGAGAGAGAGAGAGAGGACTCCGCAAAACTACAGGAAGATCTAAACAAATTTTTCGAAGTGGTCTGAAAAATGGCAGATGAAATTCAACGTGGACAAATGTAAAGTACTCAGTATAGGAGATGTAAACAGGGAAACCAGATACCAGATGAACAACGATGTTATTGAGAAATCCGACTGCGAGAGAGATTTAGGAGTAATGATAAGTAGGAATCTTAGGCCAAGTAAACAATGTGTATTTGCTCGAAACAAGGCTAATAAAGTACTTGGGTTCATACAAAGGAGTGTTAGTTACAAGACTAGCGAGGTCATCTTAAAACTATATCTTGCATTTGTGAGACCTCACTTGGATTACGCAGTTCAATTCTGGTCACCGTATTACAGAATGGATGTAGAATCCTTGGAAAGAATTCAGTGGAGAATGACAAGACTAATCCCGGGGATTAGTAACCTTGAGTACAGAGACAAGTTAAAGCGTCTTAATTTGCACTCCCTCGAGAGACGTAGAGAGAGGGGCAATATGATAAAGGTGTATAAATGGAAGTCAGGGCTGAACAAAGGGGACATTACAAAGGTACTCAAACTATCCAACCAGGAGCGAACTCGTAACAATGATTTTAAATTAGACAAATTTAGATTTAGGCGTGAAATAGGTAAACATTGGTTTGGAAATAGAGTAGTGGATGAGTGGAACAAGTTACCAAATAATATCACTAACTCGAATACGCTGGATAGCTTCAAACATAGGTTGGATGCCTATATGAGCAATAGGGGTTGGGTGTAAACGGGACTGCCCAGTATGGGCCAATAGGCCCGCTGCAGTTTCCTCCATTCTTATGTTCTTAAAAGATGGTTTTTATTCACTATTACTCACTCCTATTAACACCATACTACCTACGTCTTCCTGTTATTCACAGTCGACTATACACTAATTCACGAAATATTTTTAATTGTGGGTTTATTCACACTTAAATATCGTACTCATTATATAACCTGAAGATTAGACACCCTAACGTTACCTGGGGAGATTAAGTTATGTTAGTCAGGGTATTTAATCATCAGGTGATACTTAGGTTAGATTTGGTTGGGTTCAGGGTTGGAGTAATTGCATTTGTAATTTAATTGAAATGTAATTAATTACAAGAAAATATGAATTGTAATTGTAATTGAAAATCTATCAGTTAATTGTAATTTAATTGTAATTGTGAACTCGGTCTCCCGATTAAATTTTCCAATCAACCGCCATCATGACCATGGTCATTCCACTGACGGCCACCCACTCAACAGCCAATTGCAGTACTGTGAACCATTGGCTAGACTCCTGCTGGACTCTGTGAAGAAAAGGTTGGACCCATACATAGAAATGAGGAATGTTCGAGCAGCGGCTTTTCTGGATCCTAGGTTCAAACTGGACTGGCTGTCGTCACAGGAACAGAAGGACCAGGTACTGATTGATATCAAGGAAATGTTGGAAGAATCGGAGGCAGTTCAGGAGGGGTCAACAGAGGAAGAAAATGACAAAGATAATCTAGCAGAAGGATTACCTGAATGAAAAAGACCCAGACTTTTCACCTTCATGCCACCAACTAGGCCATAAAATCAACAGAGCATCAGAGGGAAGTACAGCGAGTCTTCTGTTGAAACAATATGTTGAAGAAGGAACTATCCCATTTTCAAGTAATCCAATGTTCTACTTGAAAGAAGTGCCCCAACTTTGTACCCACTGAAGAACCTGGCATGGGAGCTGATGGTGTGTACTGCAACGTCTGTTCCATCCGAGCGAGTTTTCAGCATTGCTGGAAATTATTTCACAACCAACAGGGCCCAACTTGGTGTCGCTTCTTCCTGTCATTGTTAATGATAAAGTGTAATGGCGAAATATTTGAAAAACTCACAGCTTTGTAAATATTATGTGTAACTTGCAGTATACATGGAGAGCACTGGAATCTTGATAGCCTATGTCTGCTTTTTTCGCAATAGTTTTGAGTGAAACATATTCATCAACACGGATTTAGCCCTTAAAACTAGACAGCATGACGATTTTCTTTTCGAAGGGTGAGCTAGCATGTAGAAACTTGTAATTATAATTAAACTTTTGATTTTCAAATTCTAGTTATAATTTAATTGAAATATTTAAATGTAAGTGTAATTTAAAATTCAGGCAAGTATTTGTAACTGTAATCGACTTATAAAAGGTGTAAGAGCTCTAACCTTGGTTGGGTTGGGTTTGGTGCTTAACGTATGGCGATATAAGCTGGGGTTGTACAGATTCATTTCACTTACGAATTCTCAAAGGCCTGTTGACTCAGTTCGTCTTGTATTATAAACAGTTAGTTCACCAACACAATTTTCATTCACACATCTCAAGACACAATTAGAACATAGAAGTAAACATTATAAAAACTGTTGACTTGTTTACCATCAGCTGACGACTAGTCCAACAGGTGAGTGATCTATCAAACTCTTGTCACCTCAGGATTGGTTCTCTCTCTAAATATTCTCAATAGTAAACAATGAAGGATACGAACGTAAAATATTTACTGTGAGATCAATTAACCTTTATCGTTCTAACTTAATCCAACCAATATACCTACTTACGAAGCATAACCTAACCTACACCTAGCCAAACATGACTTAGGACGACGAATGCTTACCTCATGTTTAAAATCCTACGTTGGTATTCCTGGCAGCTTGAGAATCTTTAACAATATAAATGTGTCAAAAAGGCGGCAGGCTCGACTAACACGTCCTCTCGCTTCTACCTGGTCGACGGCCGCCGTGGCAATGATAGCAGACAAAGAAGCAACCTACTTTTCTGCGGGCCACTGACTGCGTGAGCCAGACGTAATATTTACCCTGTACGACAACACCACCCAGTAAAGGTGACATTTGACTTTACTGTACATAGCAACCTTTCCTGTGTCTATGTATAGAATGAATCAATGTGAACTTGTGTGACGATTTTCTTTTTAAATGTCTATCTATCTTTCTAGATCAGTGGTTCCTGAACAGAGAGGTTGGTGGGGGGCGAGGTTGGTAGGGAGGGGGGAGGGGGAGTGGGGTGGTGTGTGGTCATGTGAAAAACATATATATTAAAAAAATCTTTATTAGGATATTTTCAATAAAATTGTGTAATAACCTTTTTTCTTGGTAAGTTTCAATCTTCCCCTGTGTGTGTGAGACCTGGATAAAATAATTACGAATTACTTGATCATAAAAGTTATTTAAGTACGAGTAAAAGGCGTAAACTTTACAAAAAAATTATTAAATTTATTTAAAAAAGAAAAAGGTTGAGGGTTTTGTAATAAACAACAGGTGGGGCAGGAGGGATGTGAAAAAGTTGGGGTTTCACTGATCAAAGATTTACTCCCATGAGCCAATCCCATCCTCGTCTCATACACTACATGCATAGAACATAGAACAATTCCTATTACTTCATTGTATAAATTAGGTTGGGTTTTCAAATTCTTCAAATTATGAAAAAGGCGGAAAGAGGAGGAAAAATTACAAGTCTGCACAGTCAAAAGTATTATTCGTAGTTTACCCTAAATCATATTAGTGTTGAGGACCATTTTCTTTTTACATTGACGTCATGGGTTAGGATAAACTTAAGGATTTCTTCTGGCGAGTCGAATTGGGGGCGCAGAGATTCTTTAACATGTATCAAGGGCAGATCCAGGTGGGGTCCTAGGGGTCTGGACCCCCCCTTTTCACCAGAAAATTCCAAAACTTTTCCCTTAATGCAGTATTGTGCTTAGGCATTTTTGCACAGTAAAAAGTATTTACTATTGACTTCAGAATATCTACTAATACCAAGTGAACAATACTGCGCATGGCTTCAAAATGCGCTCACCATGTTCCCCCACCCACAACTTCTTGGACCCCGCTTTTAATATTCCTGGATTCTCCTCTGCGTACTGTATATAGTATGGATATTTTGAAATCGAACTCTGAGTGATCAAGAATTTGGCACAGTATTGTCGGGTAGACGCTAGGGTCACCATCCCATAACGTGAAAAATAATGCAAGAGAAAAAATAAATCACAGTAGCAGACGAAATATTTTCACCAAACACCTTCGGCGAGAAAGTACTGGCCACTGAGGGATGCTGTTTAGAACAAATATTTCTTATGTCGTTGTGGGGTTTTATCTATGATTTATTGTGTTGTCAATCTGTGGAAGTCATGTACAGACAAGTAAGAACAAGTAAAATGAATATTATTATGACTCGTTCAGAAGCACATTACTACGAGTCTCGCAAGTCATCCCCTCCCCTTCAGTCACCAAAATGAACTTTATGCCTGCATCTATAAATATATTTACTGAATAAACTGACGAAAATTATTATGCATTTATCTCTACAGATAATACAGGAGACTTTGGAAAATTACTCTACCTGTAACTAACTCCTAGTTCGTTGTTGAGATATTTTCTATGGAATCAATACTAAGTTATGTACTGATGATACTTTCTGTGTACTTAATATTTAGTTATGTATGTGTATTCATATCAGAATGTATTTATCTGTAATTGTAATTCTATTTTTTTAATAACGTGTGTGTCATGGACGGTGATACTGTATGGCAGGTGCAGCACATCACAGCGTGTGGCAGGTGCAGCACACCACAGCGTGTGGCAGGTGTAGCACATCACAGCGTGTGGCAGGTGTAGCACATCACAGCGTGTGGCAGGTGTAGCACATCACATCGTGTGGCAGGTGCAGCACATCACAACTTGTAGCAAGTGCACCACATCACAGCTTGTGGCAAATGCAGCACATCACAGTGTGTTGCAGGTGTAGCACATCACAGCGTGTGGCAGGTGCAGCAGATCACAGCGTGTGGCAGGTGCAGCACATCACAGCGTGGCAGGTGCAGCACATCACAGCGTGTGACAGGGGTGCAGCACATCACAGCGTGTGGCAGGTGCAGCACATCACAGCGTGTGAAAAGGTGCAGAACACAGCGTGAAAGGTGCAGAACATCACAGCTTGTAGCAGGTGCAGCAAATCACAGCGTGTGGCAGGTGCAGCAGATCACAGCGTGTGGCAGGTGCATCACATCACTGCGTGTGGCAGGTGCAGCAGATCACAGCGTGTGGCAGGTGCATCACATTACTGCGTGTGGCAGGTGCATTATATCTGGCGTGTGGCAGGTGCAGCACATCGCGTGTGGCAGGTGTAGCACATCACAGCGGGTGGCAGGTGCAGCACATCGCAGCGGGTGGCAGGTGCAGCACATCGCAGCGTGTGGCAGGTGCAGCACATCGCAGAGTGTGGCAGGTGCAGCACATCGCAGCGTGTGGCAGGTGCAGCACATCGCAGCGTGTGGCAGGTGCGCACATCGCAGCGTGTGGCAGGTGCAGCACATCGCAGCGTGTGGCAGGTGCAGCACATCGCAGCGTGTGGCAGGTGCACATCGCAGCGTGGCAGGCAGCACATCGCAGCGTGGCAGGTGCAGCACATCGCAGCGTGTGGCAGGTGCAGCACATCGCAGCGTGTGGCAGGTGCAGCACATCGCAGCGTGTGGCAGGTGCAGCACATCGCAGCGTGTGGCAGGTGCAGCACATCGCAGCGTGTGGCAGGTGCAGCACATCGCAGCGTGTGGCAGGTGCAGCACATCGCAGCGTGTGGCAGGTGCAGCACATCGCAGCGTGTGGCAGGTGCAGCACATCGCAGCGTGTGGCAGGTGCAGCACATCGCAGCGTGTGGCAGGTGCAGCACATCGCAGCGTGTGGCAGGTGCAGCACATCGCAGCGTGTGGCAGGTGCAGCACTTCGCAGCGTGGCAGGCAGCACTTTCTGCAGCGTGTGGCAGGTGCAGCACATCGCAGCGTGTGGCAGGTGCAGCAGGTGCAGCACATCACAGCATGTGGCAGGTGCAGCAGATCACAGTGTGTGGCAGGTGCAGCACATCACAGCGTGTGAAAAGGTGCAGCACATCACAGCGTGTGGCAGGTGCTGCACATCACAGTGTGTGGCAGGTGCAGCACGTCATAGCGTGTTGCAGGTGCAGCACATCACAGCATGTGGCAGGTGCAGCACATCACAGCGTGTGGCAGGTGCAGCACATCACAGCGTGTAGCAGGTGCAGCACATCACAGCATGTGGCAGGTGCAGCACATCACAGAGTGTGGCAGAGTCAACACAGCAGACAAGACAATGTGCGCCGCCGTGTTTTCTCACATAACAAACCTGAGCAGTTATTTGATTATAACGCCAGACACAGGTAGTCCCCTCTCTACACCCCGTGCCCCACTCTACACCCCCTGTCCCTCTCTACACCTCCGTCCCCCCTCTACATCCCGTGCCCCCTCTCTACGCCCTCCTGGCCCACCCTTCACTTTCCTGACCCTTCCTACACCTCCTGGCCCCCTCTACACCCTCCTGGCCCCCTCTACACCCTCCTGGCCCTCTCTACACCCTCCTGGCCCTCTCTACACCCTCCTGCCCCTCTCTACACCCTCCTGGCCCTCTACTGGGAAATGTTAGGTAGGTTGATCTGAAGGTGCATTAAGATGAGGGGTTAATCTTTAGGTGATCCTTATAATCTACTAATATATGAACATAAACAAAGACGCTTCAGGGGAACAGCTGGACTCTATAGCTTCTCATCCAGTTCATCACAATATTCAAAACGGAGAGGTAATGACTGTCGTAAACTGACTTATATACACAATCGAGAACAAAGACTGATTGTACGCCGGGTTAATTAAAGCTCCTGTCCTATTGTGTTAGAGAGAATAACTTTGTTTATGTAGTAACAACGCCATCTGTGAGTGTGCGCCCGAACCAAATACAGGAAATGGTTACTGCTCTCTAGTGTGGTTAATTCACTATTGAGAACATTTAACTCAAAAGTTAACTTGCAAGAAAAGTTTATTTGACAAATCCGTCTGTATGTTTGTCAGAGACGCGTCAACAGTTGCAATCGGTGTAGCGGCCGGGGTGAAAGTTACCATCGGCGATAAACCAAGACCAAGAAGTGTATCAGTGTGTTTGTTTACATCCCATTGTTGACTGTCATGTTTCAACCCAAATTGGCGGCGTTGAGTTTCCCATTATTGGCACTAGAGGGTCACTATGGTTCTTTCAACACCAGCAGTCGTCGCACCTTTACCGCAAACTCACTCATGTATTTTTTGTCAATACAAGTTTCTTCCATTATTTAACTCTACTATTTTCATTTTTTTTCACTACTTGACCAAGTTAGAACTGGGGCCGCGTGGAATTATGGAATATAAAGACTAGGGCCCATTAGAACTAGACCCCCAATTGACAAAGAGGTCCGTTCTACCTGGCGAGCGGCAGTGTGCTCGTGGGAATCTTTATATACATACATACTAAATACATTTAAACAGTGAGTTAGTTCCAAGATAAATACATTCCAGCAGAATACCGGAGTTTACCTTAGCGTCAGCGGCGATGTCAGCTGGGGGCCCTAAGTCAGGACACGTCAGCGAGCCAACCCACCCACATTGTGTGCTTTGACCATCACGCGCTGTTGTCCCCCAAGGTTGGCAGCCCTGACTGATGCGACGCCAGGCCGGCCATATATGGAGGTAATTTCAGGCAACTTTTGGTATTTATTATATCACTCAGGGTGGCAGTGACTGGCGGAGACACAACGGTAATTACTTTTAGCTATCACGCGGTGTCTTTTCCGTTTTCCGAGCAAATTTACAGATGCGTGTCACAAATCGCGTGCACGCACACACACCCAAGCTAAGCCCGCAAAAAAAAAAATTATATATAAAAAATATATATATATATATATATATATATATATATATATATATAT